AGGATTTCTGTGAGTTCGAGACCAGCCTGGGCTACATAGTGAGTTCCAGGTCAGTCTCAACTACATAGTGAGACCCTGTCTCAACCCCCGCCCAAAAAAAAAAAACCTTCAGCAACCCTGACATGGTGGTCTATAATTCCAAGCCTGTAATTCCAGCTCTCAGGAGGCAGAAACAGGATTGCTGGGAGTTCAAGGCCAGCCTTGGCTACATAGTGAGTTCTAGTCCTGCCTGAACTGCATAGCAAGACCCTGTCTCAAAAAGCCAGAACAAACAAACCCTTCAACAACAAAGGTTGTACACAGTCCCCAATTTAAGATTTTTTTTTCATCTTTCTGAAGATGGAAAAGTAATACATAAAGCAGGCCTAGTGTCATATACCTGTAATCCCAGCACTTTGGAGGCTAAGGCGGAATTGAGAGTTCACTGCTGGCTCAGACGACATAGTGAGACTCGGTCTCAAAACAAAACAAAAGACAACTGAAAAGCAATAGTATTCAGTAGAAGCCACACCTTAAATTTTGGGTTTCGATCTTTCTTAATGCTGTGCATTGGCAGCTCCCAGTTGGCCACATAACCCTAGGGAAGCAGCTGACACAGCAGTGGACTGTGGCTAAATTATGATGTTCAGTGGGTCAGTTGCTCGAGATGCATTTTTTATTTAGGATATTTTCAATTTAAAATTGGCTTATCACTACATAACCCCATTTTAAGTCCAGGAGCATTTATTTGTATAGACTTTGCTGACAAAATGATTTTGTATCCCTAAGCTGAGTTCCTGGACTCTCCTGCTATTGAGGGAAGGCCCCAGAGACCTAAATACAGTATGTCCCTCATGGGTGTGAACCAGTCACAGAAGTAGTTCCTGTGCCTGCTGCTGCTGTGTGCTCACTGTACAGTGTGGTAATGTGCAGCAGGGTAGTGCTCAGTCAGAGCCCAGGATGTCCAAACTTTATATTGCATATTTGTGTCCAAGGTGTAGAATACTCACTCTGTCGGACTTAGGAACAAATCCAACCTACGAATATTCTCCCAGAATGGAACCCATTCATAGGTTGGGGACTTACTGTACCTAGGAACCTCTGCAGTGGGGTGCTGGACAGGAGAGGCCCTAGCCCTGGGGAAAGGGTAGATCATGGTGCAGTGGCTTTAGAGATGCTGATTCTCTCCATCTATCCTGCCCAGGGCGAAATGAGCCTCTGAAGAAGGAGCGGCTCAAGTGGAAGAGTGACTACCCCATGACAGACGGGCAGCTGCGGAGCAAGCGTGATGAGTTCTGGGACACCGCTCCTGCCTTTGAGGGCCGCAAGGAGATCTGGGATGCACTCAAGGCAGCTGCCTATGCGGCCGAGGCCAATGACCACGAGCTGGCTCAGGCCATTTTGGATGGCGCTAGCATTACCCTGCCTCATGGTAAGTAAGACGGACCAAGATTTTATCCCTGCTAAGATGGGGGTCATCAGCACAGTTTAGAAATGGAGGCCAGCCATATTCCAGGAGCTTCTGTCCAGGTTGGTGGAGGGGAAGGTGTAGACGTGTGTGGCTCTTCACTTGATCATCAAACAACTCAGAGTGAGCATGGACCAAGAGGGGGACATGAAGAAACATGACTGCTTGCCTAAGTCAGGGAGGAAAGGACAGCAGCACACCTGCAAGCTAAAGGCTTGCTTATGGCACTGTGGGGTCCCAGAACATCTGAGATAGCCGTCTTCCGTTATGTGTGCTAGACCCTGAATTTGGAACTTCTGCGTTACTGCATTTCATTTTACAGAAACCCTATAGGCTGTGGAAAGCAGAGGCAAGGGTGCAATTCCAGAGTCACAGACCTGGGTCTTAACCCAGCTGTTTCCATTTTCAAGCTTGTTACTTTTCCCAGCTGTATGACATTGAGCAAGGAGCTTTTCACATTCGAGCGTGAGCACTTTGCAACCAGAAAGGGAAATGATTGTTAGCAAGAAACACATAACATCTCCTAGTCTAGTCCTAGCACTTAGAGGGATGCTCAAGGTTCAGTAAACATTTCTGTGTGTATTACTTTACACTGGTAAGGAAATTGAAGCCAGGCCCCAGCACCCAACACACGTCGGCAGAGCTGTTTAAACCATTTGAACAAATGAGAAGTTGTGTGTAAGGCTGTCCTGGGGAGACCCAACTGTGGGGTGGCCATGGTGGATGCACTAATCAGCTTAGACTGCTGTAACGAAGTACTATCAACTAGGTTCCTTAAACATAGAAATTTGTTTCTCACAGTGCTGGAGCCAGGGAAAGCCAAGATGTGTACCAATTGATTTAGTTCTTGTGAAGGTTGACTTCCTGCCTTGCATATGCACCTTCTCACTGTGTTCTCACATGGCAAGAGGAGAGAGAGAGAGAGAGGAAAGAGCTCTCTAGCATCTCTTATGAGGACAGTAATCCTATCAGATTAGGGCCTCACTCTTACAGCCTCACCTAACCCTAATTACTTCCTGTAGGTTCCATCTCCAAATGCTGGCACATTAGGTTTAGAGTTTGAACTTAGGACTTTTAGGAAGTGACAGCAGGACCCCAAGCCAACACACTGACTGCCTTGCCCTGCCTTTTCACAGGCACGCTCTGTGAATGCTATGATGAACTGGGCAATCGCTACCAGCTGCCCATCTACTGCCTGTCACCACCTGTGAACCTGCTGCTGGAGCACACCGAGGAGGAGAGCCTGGAGCCCCCCGAGCCCACCCCCAGCGTGCGCCGTGAGTTCCCCCTGAAGGTGCGCCTCTCCACAGGCAAGGACGTGCGACTCAGGGCCAGCCTGCCCGACACAGTGGGCCAACTCAAGAGGCAGCTGCACGCTCAGGAGGGCATAGAGCCGTCCTGGCAGCGGTGGTTCTTCTCCGGAAAACTCCTCACAGACCGCACACGGCTGCAGGAAACCAAGATCCAGAAAGATTTTGTCATTCAGGTCATCATCAACCAGCCCCCATCACCCCAGGACTGATAGACCCACAGACTTGTGAAGAGGGGTCATGGAAGGCCTCTGTGGGGCTGGAGCCCTGGGCTCCCACCCTGCTGCTGCCTTCAAGTGCTGTTTTCTTCAGGCGCACTTCCCTGCTGTGTGGCTCTGGAGACCAGTGAAGGGACCTTGCCTCCCAGGGAGTGCCCAGCAACAGGAAGCAATGCTGCCACACACAGGCCTTGCCAACCTTGTCAGAGGACTGGCACCCCGGGGCCCTCCACACTGCCTCTCTCCCGAGGCAGGTTCAAGCCACGGGCCCACCCGGAGGCCCTGGAGCCCAGATCTGCCATCTGGTGCTGCCACTGTGCTCACTCCAGTTTTCTGCTCAGGGTTGGAAGCAGCTGCTGTCTTCTTCCTCTGCCCCCACCCTGACTCTGCCCTGGGCACAGTGCCAGTCCCCTGGAGGGGAGGGAACAACCAGTGAGCCCCAGGGCTTGGGGAGCCTGAGGCGGGCCTCTGCCTCTCCCTGCCCCTAGCACAATCGGCGGAGAAGAGGTGGGTGACCAGACAGCTGGGCTTTGTGTCAGGGTTTTGCACAGGGCCATCTTCTGGCTGCACCCTAAGAGGTGGTTGGTCCCACAGCAGATCTCTGTGTACAAACATATCTGCGTATTTATCAATAAAACCTTTTGCTCCTTCTCCGTTGCCTGGTATTTGACTTTGAATTCTGCAGCTTGGTGGAGCCTGGAGCTCCTGCTGGTGCAGGAACAGGTAGGCTTGGTGTTCCTGGCTGCTTTGGGCACAGTGGAACCTGCTGACCTGAGGTCCTATATTCTGGGCCCTAATCCCAACTCCTCTCGTGTTCTTGGTGTAGGTCCTCAAGAAAAGCCCCTTCTGAACCCACAGTTTTCTCAAAGCAGAGATGCTGCTCTTGCCCTGCCTTCTCCAGCATTGCTGGGAGGGTTAAGGGGGAAATAGATTTGCAAATGCCTTGAGAGCATTTGCTCAGGAAGGTGGCATCAGTTACTGGTCTTCTCCTGCCTTGGAATCTCCAGGCCCTCAAGCTGTGCCCTCACAACTGAGGTCTGTAATGGAAATCCTGGAGGCACTGTGCTCATGTGAGTTTCAAAGCAAAATCTCTGACAGATACATTTAGATTGTGAACATGAGCCAGAGAGGAAAAAGAATGGAGTCCTTGTATTTCCCTGGGGAAATGAACACATTAGCAAAGAAAACCTTAGATAAGGCTGTTAGTTGCAGGCAGGGCATGTGAGTGCAGTGACAGAGGTGGGGGGGTGTCTACCATATGAGGCAGGCTAAACCTGGGTCATGAAGACCTGGTGCTTGAGCTCACAAGTTTAGGTGTGGATCTGAGCAAGGACAGGACTGCTTTTCTCCTGTTGGGAGCATTTTTCCTTCTCAGTGAGCATGGCCAGTTAGCCTGTCTGGTGCATCTTAGCTGGCCTTGGCATTGCACTATGACTTTCTGAGACCCTTCTCTTCAGGCAAGAGGAACAGATTAAGTTTGTACGTGACTGACGGACACATGGCCTAGTACAGTGGTGCTTTGCTAGGAGGTACCGTGGGGCCCACAGAGCAAATGCCAGCAACAACCCGTCTCAGAGGGAGGTAGCTGCCCTCACTTCCACCACTGCCCTGTACTCTGGCCTGCACCGTGCAGAGTCTACCCTTCCCCACAGCTAGCAGGGTCTACTCAGGGCAGTGTGGGGCACAGATTTGTCTAGGTCCCATGATTGGTTTTCAGATTCCCTCATTGGCACTAGCTGGGAAAAATTTCCGGGTATCCAGCAGGTGGCACTGCCAGCTGGCGGATCCTTTGCGTGGCCCGGCTGCCCCGGGAAAGGCTCCACCAGTCCTAACTGCTCAGAACAGGCTAGATAGCCTCCTTCCCATTTCCCTGCCCACTGTGCCCTCTGGCTGCAGTAGGGCAGGGGTTGGGGGAAGGGCAGCTTGCCTGCTGCCTGGCCTTCCCCTGCTCCCTGGGGCTGCCTGAGGTGAAGGTGACAGGTTGGGGAGGCAGGTGGAGAATTGGGCCAGTGAGCTCATGGTAAAGGCGCCCAGCAAGTGGGTGTGGGTGCTCAGGCTTATAAAGCCCCCAGTGCCCTGTGCCTGCAGACGTCACCATGGACGGCACTGTGGAGGGTTCTGAGGCGGTGCAGAGAGCCACAGCACTCATTGAGCAGCGTCTGGCAGAGGAGGAGGAGAATGAGGTGGGAGCAGGCGGGTGGGGGCCCAGGGAGGGTCTGAGGAGATCCTGTCTGCTGTTGTGGGAAGGGAGAGCCTGGCTGTCACACTTACGGTCTCTGAGGGTCCTGCCTGGCCCATTCCCATCCTAGGATGCTCCTGGCGGAGGAGGTTGCTGACAGTAGGAGACTGAGGCTTCAGCCTCCAAAACAGAATCAGTGGTAGCAGGAAGCTGAACCAGTCTTGAGCCCAGCCCTCACTGGGGGCTTCAGGAGCCAGGTCAAGCCGTGGAGGGCAGACAGCTGCTCACCACCAAGCAATGCCCACATATACAGCCCGAGACCCTTCTGTCCCTCAGCTGTTGGTGGAAGGCTGGGCAGGAGCAACTCTGGGCTTTGGTCACTGCAGGAAATAAAGGCTGGTGCTGAGCAGGGAAGGGGTGCTGGGAAAGGAAGCCTGGGTCTCCCCAGCACTGTGGCAGCTCCTGAGGGGACCGCGGCAGTACTGATGCATTTTCTCCAGGATAAGGGAACGGGGCGGGAGTGCTGGCTTGTCCTACTCTCGATTTTGTTTAACACTTAAACTAGTGTCTGTTCTGCCTTGAGCCTGGTGCTGGTGGGAGTGGGAAGACCACGAAGGCCCAGACCCTGCCTTCTTTTCACCAGCCCAGCATTCATTTAGCCAACACTTCTCAGTTTTTATACTCAACTAAAAAACAAGGCAGAGGGAAGAAATAATTAAACAGATGTGAGTCAGTAGTGAAAGCCCTTAAAGGAAGGGTGAATTATTCTGAGTGTGGCCTTTAAGGTGCACTCGGTAGACAGGATGGTATTTGAACTGGGCCTTTGGGAGTGAAAAGTGGGATGATGAAGGGGGAAGAATATTCCAGCCTAAGGAAATGACAGGAGCTGAAAATTTTAATGAATGAAACTACAGCTACAATGAGGAAGTCTGGTGGTAGGGGATACGGCCAGGAAGGGAGGCAGAGGACAAATCAGAAGGAACCATGCAAAAGATTCTTACTCTGTGAGGAGTGGGGAGCTACTACCAATGTCACTGAGTGAGGAAGAGTGGTGCCGTCTGACCGGTCTTAGGAAGACAGTTGTGATGGACCAGCGAAGTGCTTTTTGGAGGGGGAAAGGCTAATGCTAACAGGGATGGGAAAGGAGGAAATCAATATGTTTAGAGGAGGATCCCATTTCAAAAAAGGAACCGTGCACAAGTGAGGGGATGAGGAAGAGGGAAGGATCAGCGCTCTTAAGAAGAGAAAAGCTTTCAAAGCTGAGCGTGGTGGCGCAGGCCTGTAATCCCAGCACTCGGGAGGCTGAGGCAGGAGGATCGCTGTGAGTTCAAGACCAGCCTGGGCTACATAGTGAGTTCCAGGTCAGTCTCAACGACCTAGTGAGACCCTGTCTCAAAAAACAAAAAAAAGAGAGAGAGAGAAAAGCTTGGATTTGTAGAAAAGAGCTTGGACTGAGGCTGCTGAGTCCTGGCCAGGGCATCCCTGGATCTCCAGGAATCCTACTTCTCACTCCTCAAGGCGGTGTGCACAGGGCCAGCTGATGCCAGGCAGGGAAGCATGCTGCTGTGTCATTCCGGGAGTGCTGCCACTAGACACGGAAACCTTCAGCACGGGAACACAGCAGTTTTCTTCCATTCATTCATCCAATAAATATAGCTACAGGGCCATCAGACACCAGTACCTATAAAGCCAACCTCCCTTCCAAGTGCCTACTACATGTCCGGCACTGTGCTGAGCATTTTACAGGATTTTTTTCAATCTGTAAACAATCTATAAGTTCAGGGAGTTTTGTTTCATGAGCTGACATCCAATTCAACAAACATTTATTGAGCACCTACTGTGTATCAGCCCGCAGTCCAATCAGAAGTGGGCCTGAAGAGTCTAAGCAGTGTTCAGTGGCACCAGTTGTTTACGCGGGGCCCCAGCCTCGCAGGGTTGCAGACAGAACCCCTAGTTAGCCTACTCTGTGGTAGGAGAGTAAAAGGGGCTAGGGCCAGCTCAGGGGCAGGAGCTCTGTTACGGGGAGCTTTTGGGTCAGGACATCACAGAGAGCTTGGGGTGGGCAGAGATGCCAAACCCTGCCCATTATCCATTCACTCAGTCACCAAATGTCTGCCGAGGACCTACGATATGCCAGGCCCTGCCGCAGCTTAGGGTCACCAAGACGACAGAGCCATAAGCCTGTCCTTCCGATGCTGCACGAGGAGCCCAGCCAGAGCCCCACACGTAGAAGTAGCTGCAGCCTCAGGTCATCCTGTTCCTGAAAGGAGATGCAATGTGTCAGGTGAAGCCAGAACTAGGGAAACCCCAAACTACGCAAGCCTGACAAAAAATGAGAGAGGGCAGTGGTCAACAGGATGTTCAAAATAAAGATCTGGGAGACCAGCCCTCAAATCCACCCTGGGCGAAGCTTAGGCCTGGGCTCACTGAGAAAGGAGAGGGGCAGCTGACAGTGTGAGCAGCCAGTCCTCTCTGGCTCAGCCCCTTCCAGTCTAGGCAGATGCTTCTGGGTTTACATCTACACAGGATAGAGGGGAAGCTCCAGGATGGGCTGTCAGCACTTCCCAAAAAGTGAAGTAGCCTGGGAACAAGAGCTGCAGATCATGAGGGACCTAGGGAGTTTCACCGTTTTGTTACAGAGAAAAGAAGGTGGACACTTAGGATCCATCTCAGCCTGAAAGCTGAACAGGGCTGCTTCCATCCTTTAGTTTCCCCATAGGAAATAGTTTCCAAGCGTTAGGTTTTACAGATCAGAAAATTTTGGAGAAAAAATAGTGTCTTTTTTTTGGTGGGGATGGGGGTGGGTGGCTCAGTGGTAGGGTATTTGCCTAGCATGTTTGAGGCCCTGGGTTCAATTCCCAGCACTATAAACAAAACAGTCGGGCGTGGTGGCACATGCCTGTAACCCCAGCCCTCAGGAGGCTGAGGCAGGAGGATGGCTGTGAGTTCTAGACCAGCCTGGGCTACATAGTGAGTTCCAGGTCAGTCTCAACTACATAGTGAGATCCTATCTCAAACAAAAACCAAAAAATAAACAAAACAAAAATATCACCTCTGATCACAATGACTTCATCAAAGTGAATTTGTAACACTAAAAAGCTAAAACTTGGGCCAGGGATTTATCTCAGTGGTTCTGCCACCTGCCTCACAAACACAAGGACCTGAGTTTGATCCCGGGCCCCCCCCCCAAAAAAAAGCTAAAACTTAAAAAATAATCATCGTGTCATTTAAGAGTGAATAGTTAGACCTCTAGGTTCTTAGGTTCTGATTTGGTAGATTCAACAACTGCAGATGGAAAATATTCAGAAAAAATGCTATTGTACTAAACATATCCATTTCTTCTTGTCATTCCTTAAACAATAAAGTCTAGCATAGTATTTGCATTGTATTAGGTGTTGTAAGTAATATGCAGATGATGTAAAGTATATGACAGGATATGTATATGTTATATACAAATACTATACCATTGTATGCAAGGACCTTTAGCACCCATAGATCTTTTTTATTTTTTTATTTTACTTTTTGAGACAGGGTCTCACTATGTAGTTTAGACTGACCTGGAACTCACTATGTAGCCCAGGCTGGTCTTGAATTTACAGGGATCCTCCTGCCTCAGCCTCCCAAGTGCTGGGATTACAGGTGTACACCACCATGCCCAGCGAACATCCATAGATCTTTGTGTCCACTGTATTCCTTTTATTTATTTATGTTTTGGTACCAGGGATTGAACTCGGGTCCTTGCGCTTGCAAGGCAGGCGGTGGAACCACTGAGCTAAATCCCTGGCCCGGCCCTGTATTCTTAATTTTATAAAAAATTTACTCCAGTCTTGTTGGGCTGAAAAAAACTCAGAAAGCACAAGATCGAGCTGGGGTTGGAACTGAGGCTGAAGGGGAAAACTGAAATTTATCCCTTTCGGGGTGCTCTTGCCCAGGTTCTGACCTCCCAGGAGGAATCCTCATGGGGTGTCTTTGGGAAGGTTGGGGAGAGGCTATGAGTCCCCATGGTCCTGAGAGGGTGTTCTCCTTGGTTCACCAGAAGCTGCGAGGAACCTCTCACAGGAAGCTGCCTATGGACACGCTGGTGCTGGAGGAAGAAAAGCGCACTGGGGCCCAGAGCCAGGCTTTACAAAAGGTTAAGGTAAGTGCAGGCTCACCCAGGCCACCTTCTCAAATCCTCGCATCTTCTGAGATTCCCTGGGCCAGCAGCTCAGCACCCCTGGACCCTTGTGAGCAGTGCAGAATCCAGGCCACCAACCTGCCGCGTCAGAATCCACACTCCCCCTCTGTACCATTTTGTCCTAAAAGGAACTTGGACCTTGGTTCTTTCTCTATTTTTTTGTTTTGTTTTGTTTTATTTTGCTTTTTGAGACAGGGTCTCACTGTGTAGTTGAGACTGATCTGGAACTCAATATGTAGCTCAGGCTGGTCTCGAACTCATAGCGATCCTCCTGCCTCAGCCTCCCAAGTGCTGGTTACAGGCATGCGCCACCACGCCCGGCTGGCTGGTTCTTTCTCTTTTGAGAAGGCCTCCTTACTCCATCCTGGTCTCCTGCTTAGCTGAGGTGGCCTTCAAGCTCCCCCAGCTCTGTTCTCTGTATAGGGTTTGATGGGCCACTCTCACTCAGGGCCAAGAGCGTGTGCGCAAGACATCCCTGGATCTGAGGCGGGAGATCATCGATGTGGGCGGGATCCAGAACCTCATCGAGCTGCGGAAGAAACGCAAGCAGAAGAAGCGAGAAGCTCTGGCCACTGCCCAGGAGCCACCTCCAGAGCTCGAAGAGATCGTAAGGGTCCTGGGGAGGGAGACCTGCGTGAGCACGGGAGGTGGGGGTTGTCCTGGATATACTTGACTGGTCTTGCACCCTGCAGAGTGGCCCGGTGGATAAGGAGATGTTCCTGAAAGCAGCAGTGGAAGGGAAAATGAAGGTCATTGAGAAATTCCTGGCAGATGGGGGGTCAGCCGACACCTGTGATGAGGTGATGTTCTCCCCCACCCCAGCCCTGAACCGACCTCCCTCTCAGAGCTGCCCTCCGTCCTGGTTTAGCCCATTTGTGGGCCTGAGAACAGCCGTGGGTATTTCTTGAGGCCTTGCGGGGGGGTCCTCAAAATGGGATACTGCCTTCCTCATCCAGGAATTTACCTAAATCCTTAGACCTTTCCCCAGCTCATATCACCTCAAGAGTAAGGAATGTCACTTATTTCTTTAGGAAGATGGAGGAATGAATAAAAAAGATGTCAGGACCAGCCTATTTGGACTTGAATTTCAAGTCCACCACTCCCTAACTATGGGACCTTTGGCTGGGCGGGTCATTCAGTTTCCTCTACTGTGGTTTGTTTGTTTGTTTGTTGGTATCCGGGATTGAACTCTGGACTTTTCACTTGCCGGGCAGGCACCACTGAGCTACTCCCCGGCCTGCTCTGTGACCCATATTTCTCACAATGTGTTATGATTAATGGAATAGTAACGACTCAATAAATATTTGTTGAATGAGTGCAAAACCTGTAAAGCAAACACTAGGATACATTATTTTTTCTCATGATATAATCTTATGATGCCTTGAAATCCCTTTTGTGTGTGTTGGTGATTGAACCCAAGGCTTCAAGCTTGTTAGGCAACCACTGAACCACTGAGCCACAACCCCCACCCATTTTTATTAATCTGTTGTGGTAAACTATCACATGAAATATGTCATTTTGAGCATTGTAGGCATATAATTCGGTGTCAGTAATTACACTTACAATGCTGTACAACCATCATCATCTTTTTTTTTTTTACAATCTATTTTTAAACTATTTTTGAAATGTTTCATCACCCATCATACTTTTTGTTTTCCCCAACCGCCGCTGTGTTCTCTTGCTTTCACATCTTAGAATCAAACACAGTAATGGCCATCCACTCAGTCTGCATTATTGTAGACTTAGAGCATTGTCCTTTCTATTTTTTAGCCTCCAGGGTCTTAATCTTTTGTGTCTGTCCAATCGCCTTCTACTATTCAGTGCTGGAAGTTAAAGGAAGAAAAATAAAAAGGTTGAGAATTATGAGAGATTAGCCACAACCAGATTATTAGCAAGTGGAAGACATACGGTATAGCCCTGCCCAAGTATTTCAGTTTCAAGACTTCAAAGCAAAAAGTGCTGCATTGAGAAGGGAAGTTCACTCCTTCCTTGAATCAGGAATCAGTGAGACCCCCCTCATCGTGCTCTGTGCTCAGCACTCAGGGGAAATAGTGTCCAACAAGGCTCACTCTGCCCTCAAACACTCTGTCATAGTCAAGGGTCATCTGGGTCCCCAGAAGACTCTGGCCTAGAGTTTTCAAGGAAATAGTGGCACAAGAGTTGCTTCTTGAAGAATAGCAGCTATTAATCAAGCACTCATAAAACTAAAGACAAACAGACATGCTCAGATCATGGAAGATGTGGAAACCCAGCACAGCGGTCAGAATCGAGTTGCAGCAAAGCCTGGGCTTCAACTTGGGTGGGAGAAAGGCTCAGACCTAGGGCCAGAGGCCAGGCCCTAACGGCCTCTCTGGGGACAGTTCCGGCGGACAGCACTGCACCGAGCCTCCTTGGAGGGCCACGTGGAGATCCTGGAGAAGCTTCTGGGGTGTGCGGCTACTGTGGACTTCCAGGATCGGGTGAGCAAGAGGGCAAGTATTGAGTGGGGCGGAAGGAGGTGGGCTCAGTTCCATTACTCCCTCTCCCTGTCAGTCTGGGACTCAGTACAGTACTCAGGGCCAGGTCCCACTTTCCATGGGTTGTGTGACATGGGGCAAACTCTATCTCCTTCCTGAGCCTCCTCTGTCACTCTGGCATAGACTACTAGTGAGTCCCTGCATGTTCTATTCTACTCCCCACGCCCAGGAGTTCTGTCCCTTCCCAGTACCTTGTCCCTGCCTGTCTCTCTGTCCTCTCGGCCGGGGTCCTTTTCCCCAGGGCACTTGCTTCCCTACAACTCTAAGTTAGGACCTGTGTTTCCCTTCTAGCTGGACTGCACAGCCATGCATTGGGCCTGTCGTGGCGGCCACCTAGAGGTGTTAAAACTCCTACAAAGCCGAGGAGCAGACTCCAATGTGAGGGATAAGGTAGGCAGCAGTGCTCAGATGCGGTAGGTATTGGGGTTAGTTCAGGGAGGAGGGCAGAGGGCAAAGGGGAGGTGAGCTCAGGTGGTAGGATGATAGTGAGCTGCTGGAGTTTCTGTAGTGGTTGCAGAGCAGCCTTAAGCCCTGAAGGGACCACATCTGGAAGTGGGAGCAAAAAGAACAGAGGAGAAGCCAGGTGTGGTGGTGCACACCTGTAATCCCAGCACTCGGGAGGCTGAGGCAGGAAGATCAATGAGTTCGAGACCAGCCTAGGCTACATAGTGAGTTCCAGGTCAGTCTCAACTTACATAGTGAGACCCTGTCTCAAAAAACCAAAGGGGGAAAAAAAAAAAGAACAGAGGAGAGAGGAGAGGAGGACAAAAGACCCACTCTCTTGGGGGTTTGGGTCCTACTTCTGATGCAAAATGTGTTCATCCATGCAAACCTTCATCATCTATTTATCCATTCACCCAGTTATCTGTCCACTTATTCATGTGTTCATTTATTAATCCACCATCATTCTGTTCCTTTTTTTTTTTTTTTTTTT